TCGACGAATACACTGCGAATATTCGCGTCTACAGCATCGCACACACATTTACATGTGTTTATAATTATAAAATGAGCGTATTTCTGAATAATTCGGAGCAGTTCTCTGTTTGGCTCAATTATTTTGGATGTCAAAATTTTGTATAAAATGTACCAACTTTTTAAATGTTCAAGCGTTTATTTTGATATTACTGTCAATTTCACTGATAATTTATTTTTATACTATAGGACATAGTTTAAAATTAATGATAAATTAAAGATAAATGTCGTCGGATATTAGATGAAGTTTATACAGTGTATCATGACATTCTGTATTATTTAAAAAAAAAAATACAATATTTAAATAGCATAAGGCCTATTTAAGAATCTAAATCATATTGGAGTAATTTTTACGTATTCGATGATAAGAGAGAACATACTGCTGTTGTAACGATTTAATGAAAAAAAAAAAAAAAAAAAAAAAAAAAAAAAAAAAAAACTTGTACTTGTATGATGTATAACTACTAAGTTGAGTAAATGAAAAATAAATAAATGAAAAATAATAAACTTTATTCCACTCGTTACTGTATATTTACTAATATTATTGTAAAAATGGTTCAAATATAGGAATGTATATATATATATATATATATATATAGATATATATGTTATCGGAATATGCATAAAGAATATTTAAAATAGAATTTTAGAAGGAGAATAATAGATGAATTTGGACAATTTTTATTTTAAGTAAGAACAATTTTACCAAATGTGAAGTAAAATTTTCTTCTATTCCCTAGTCTTGAATAAGTCCGATAAATGTAGTATAGTCACGTACATAATTTCTCTTTTAGTTGGAATTGTACTATGGACACTCATAATTTCTCTTGAATTATATGGTTATTAAATTTCATACATGCATGAAAAATATTTTCAAAAAAAAATATATGTTTTCTTTCTTTCTGCTCTGAATAATAAGAAATATTATTTCTATCCGTAAATCAAGCTCATTTGAATATCAACGAGCAGAAGTTTTGCCAGTGATGTAGCACAGACATTCCAATCATTAAATATATTACTGGATACCCTAATGAAGTAGTAAAATCGACTATTAATCCTACTTATAAGTAACCTATTATTTTAACGTTTTGACATTTTAATTGCAAAGAAAATCAAAATGTTTATATGAATTGATAAAAAATGGCTATCCCAACGACAAAGATCATTTTAAATTATATTTTCCATTATTAATGTGAACAATGTTAATGGATTCATTTTAATTTCCATACCAAGAATATTTTACCAAGTTCATCAATTAAATGTAACGATTTTCAGACTCACCTGAATAGTTTATTACTTAATTTATCTATCTGAAAAGGGAGCGTGAGCCATTAAACGTTTAAAACGTCAGCTATTGGATAGCATTAATAAAGATGGCATCTAATTTAGATAAAAAGTAAAATTAACTTATTTTCATATCGACTTATCAATGATTACGACAATCAACGACTCTTGAGCCAACGAGTCTTGCTCATTGAGACAAAAAAAAAAAAAAAAAAAAAAAAAAAAAAAAAGAAGAAAAAAAACAAAAACAAAAGAGGAGGGGAATTTTAGAGTCGAAGAGCCATTATTTAATAATCAATTGATATGGGAGAAAGTGAGTTAATTGGATCGTTGGAGTCAAGATATGTTTCGAGGAGGGAGTCGATCACGCATGGCTCTTGCATCGCTGCGCAGGCAAAACTTGGTAATGGAGTGCTTTCATACACGAGTGGTACAAAGATGGAGGCGTACTCGCGTAAACAAGCAAGTGGATATTCGTTGTGCAAGATGCGTTAATAGAGCCAGGGAACTGGGGAATGTCCACTCGTAGTAGTCAACGATGCACTTCACAAGTACCTATTCCATACCCGTTCTCGGCTACTCAATCCTCCCTCTCCCTCCTCTTTCATCGATGATATCATATTCCCATAGCACCCACGCACCCGCCCCTCATACGTCCGAGATCGCATGGTCTCGGCGCTAAATGTAGCGTATTGTCGGGCTGGTTATTGGCGCCACGGCAATCCTCCCTCCCCATCCTCGTGTGCGCCCCACTATTATATCGTTCTACTATTATAATAATTATTATACTTGCTAAGCTGATGCGCGCCCCTGAAAATGTAAGATAAACTTTGCAGGAGAGTATTATTATTATTTTTTTTTTTCCGTGAAATTGCTAATTTTCTTGGGCGATGGCGGGGTTGGGGGAGTAGGGGGGGGGTAGAGAGGGATTGGTTAAGTGGGAACCGAGAGAAGCGATTCGATAAGGCTGTCGGCGCGAACGGGTAGATTCGTTACCGAAACGGCATTCGTCCGAGTATGCGTGCTCTCGCTTTTACTCCGAGAGTGCTTTATTTATTTGGTAATTGATAGCCATTATTTGAATGTGGAGCTGCGAGTTGCTAATCAAGGGCTGTCAGCCGATTTCAGTACTTGAACTTCAATGTTCTCGTGAGCTCCATTTCAATTGCCATTATTTAATTTACACGAAAGCTACTTACCGTAAGGGTCCGAGCAAATATCTTGAATTCTATTTTTCAACTTTATTGCAATTACATGGTCTGGTTATTCTGGTTGATGGATTATGGTTGGAAATATTGTGGACAATGTCAAATGCAGCATACACTGTTACATATAATAATCTAAAAATAAAGCAGCATGAATCAGGAGCGAGTATTCCAATAAAAATAGTTTAAATAATAACCGAATGAAAATGTGGATTTACTCGCTTCTAATAATAACTGCAAGAAAATTTACGTATTGATGGATATGTTCTCGTAAATGTGATTTTACGCTTGAAATAATTTACCGTCAAATGGAAAATTATTATTGAATGCGACTTGCGAGCAAGACTAATTTTAATAATATTTAGTTAGTTTAATAATAATCTATTAAATAATTTTATTAAATAAGTTTACTTGCAATCACGATTCGCGTTATTCATATGATATAGTCGCATGACTCGTGTTCCAATAAAGTATTATTAAACTTTATATCTTCAAATTGAGTATATTATTTTATTTGAGATATTCGACTAAAAATCTTTTCCACTTGTTTTCGACAATTATATATAATTGGTGTGGTAGTAGGGCATTGTATGTTATTTAAAAAAAAAAAAAAATCACTAAACTTAAAAATTGGATATTTAAAACATTGAGCGAATGACTAATTTAGAAATATAAATTATAAATTGCGTGTTATAAGTTTTTGATTGGTTAAATGCTTATAGGTTAAGTAAAAAATTTGTTTTGTCATTGAATAAATAAAGACAAAACTTTAATCTTTCGTAATGATTAATTATGTAAAAGAAAAATTTGTTTTTTCTTTTTTTTTTTTTAATACTTTATAAGGATGCCTGACTTTTTTCTTTTAATCTTGTAAAAACGCCAGTATTTACGGTAAAACCTTTCTTCTGATACTTTGCTGATAAATCTTATGCATGTTAATAAAAAATTCCTATTGCCAAACGGTATCGTGTAAAATTACTATTAAAATAATTGGACAATACAAAGAATTTTAATTGATTTAAATATTTGCTCTTATGAAAATAATGCCAACAAATTAATATATGAAATGATAAAAACATACACAGCACCGCAATTAAGGGAAATAAAATGTCTTAGTTATTTGTAAATTGCTCTAACGTTTTAATTAATTCGAATTGCAAAAATGCCTTTATAGTGACAAATCGCTTTAAAATATGGGCAATAATAGTAGTTTATAGTTAAACATTAAGAACTATATTTATAATTTTATATTGCTAGTCAAGTAAGTTAACATAATTTTTAAATACGAATAAAGTCTTGGAAAAATCAAGTGGAATGTATGTTTTAATATGATAATGACAGAAAATAAGACAAGTAGTTTGATTATAGAACAATAAAATAATTAAAATATCAGAAAAATAATTATCTTATAAGATCAATTCTGACAGATATTCAAAAGCTTTACTATAAGTGATAAAATTTTACATTCAAATTTTAATTCTCATTAAAGATTTTTTTACCATATCGTAGATTTTACAAAGTTGAAAAATTGTTTTTGTAAACATCAAATTCAATTATATTAGAGCTTGCAAATTAATGATTAAATTACGTAGTAATTTTGGGTAAGAATTCGAATTGTTTTATATGTTTTATATAATCATTTTTATTATTGAAAAAAAAAAAAAAATCAATCCTCGTATAATTGTAAAATAAATTAAAAGAAATTAATTTAAAGTAATTTTTGTATTTTTTTTCTTTATCGTTTACCGTTAAATTGTAATTTTATTCTGTCATAGCTCTATTATAAATACTATAAGTACGAATAATATTTGTAATATTGGAAATTATTTTCATACAAATATAAAATAATTGATAAAGTAATAGCAGGAAATTAAGAAATGAGAACATCTTGGTTATACGATCAATGCCAAGTTTTAATAATTGTATTATAAGTCTATATATATATATATTTATATATATATATATATATATAGTTATAATTATTATATATTTTAAAAATTTAATCGTCTAGAAATTTCAGTTTTATCATATGCGTTTACATCTTATCGTGTTTGAAAATTGGTTTTGTAATGGAAAAGTCGCAATCGTTTTTATCATCTGGTTGGTCATCAATTTTATGTACTATCATTTAAATAATATAATTTACAAATTGGATATTCAATATTTTAATAGATTTAATATCGCTTGATGACTCCATTGTAATACAATGTTGAATTAAATTTATACTACGCTTACATGAACATGTATAATAACTCTAAGTGTGTGTACTTACATTCAAAGTCACGAACAATTCTTAATATTCTAGTGTAGAATTGCAAATTGTCTATTAGTATTAGGGATATTTCTTTTTTATTAATGGCATTTGTATAATTTTCCGATAAAAAATTTGTAATGGCCTTTTTGATAAAAATATTAATAAATACGCCTTTAAATTAAAAAAGTTCTAGTTAATTTAAAGTATAATTACACTAACCTGAAATGGAGTGGTAAGCTCTTGGCGATCACCTGGATAATAAGGTGGATAAAGTTGAGCAAGAGACATAATGGCCTCATTACAAAATTTCAATCCCATTACTTCTTCGTCTTCTCTGCCGTAACGAAAAGTCAATGTCACCTGTCCATAGACCTACAACACAATACATTTATTTATGTACACACACACACACACACACACACACACACACACACACACAGAGAGAGAGAGAGAGAGAGAGGTACACACACACACAGACACACACAGGCACACGCACACGCGCACATATATATATTTTTATTTTGGATATTGATGAAGTTGCATGTAACAGAGCGAGATATACCTTTTTGTCTTGAAGAATTTCAGGATCAATCAGTATAACACCTTGAATTTTATCGATTTTTCCATCAGTGACAATGAGATCTCGACTAGCTAAGTATAGGGTGAGTTTGCCATTTTGAGATGACTTCTTGAATGCTCTGCTCATGAAAATTATTAAATTAACTTGATTATACTTTCTATTAAAATACTTGCATTAATAGTTTCATTATCAATTATTCCAAAGACGATATTATACGAAATACGATATACCATTCAATATTCAGATACTTTATTCTTTTTTCATTTTTACGTATAATATATTAAATTCTTATGAAGTTGATTTTGAAATTAAATGCAACAATGAATTAGTGCGTAATATCTTAAACATAAATATATAAGACAAAAAATTGAAATATATCTAAAATAATAGTCGGCATAAAGGAGTTTTCGTTTTTAAAATTATCTCTTTTAACGAAAGTTTTTTGGCATATATATGATTCAAATATTGCACGTGTTTAGGTAATAGAATTTCAGTATATTTATTGATTTGTGTTGATGTTGAGATATCAATATTCAACATGGAACAATTTAGATGTATAAAGTATAATTAGACACCTTTACATACGTCACAAATCAAAATATTTTCCTCGGGTTAATTCGTACAATTTAAAGTATTATACATTTATTTTCTATTGTCGGAAACATTAATGATTAAAATTGTCATTTATAAATGCCATTATTATTAGTAATTACTCTATCAGATAAATTCATAACGAATTAATCAAGATTATATATATTTTGTATTTCATAATTTGTCGATATATTTATATTAAAATGTTTAATGCATCTAGAATTCGTATTCATTAATTCACGTCGTATAATCATTTCTTTATTATTATATTGGCATTGAAATATTGAATTACCATTATTTGAATAAATATTCTCTTTGAAAAATTTAATCTTACTGTAATCACGATCTCACAATCATGTTACTTTCATCAATCATTTTCTAAATTTCAGCTACTGGTATTTGATATAATAGTCCTAATTAATAATTCGCGTTTATATATTAGAACTATCAAGTCTTTTAATTTTTATCCATAAAGGGACGTTGAAAATAATTTCGATATTAGTAAAAAAAAAAAAAAAACTATACTTATAATCGTTAAATTTAATAAAAATTTTGAATTATAATTAAATTTGGATTTTAGGAAAGTTTAATATCATAATTAATATTCATATTAAAAATTTAAGAATTTCAATGTATTAAATTATCACTTGTAATTAATTACATATTTAACTTTTCAAGAAAATATTAATATAAGACTTTGGATGTGTTTTTGAACTTATAAGCTTTTAAAGTCAATGTACTATACGATAGGTGTAATACCCAACTTCGGTATTACCATTATGAAACTACTATTGTATTCATTAAGTTGTACCTTCTAAAACCTGATGAAGTAGATTTTAGTAAAGTAAGTTTAGATTAATGATATTTAATGTTTTGTGACATAATATTTGCATTTCTTATTGTTTCGGACGTTATTCGTAATATAAAAACTTTATTCATTAAGAAATATTCTATAACTTTACGTTTATTACAAATATTTTTCTTTATAATGTTCACCGAGTATTTTCAATAAAGATTATTGCTTATTTATTCTAAATTTCAAACAAATATTTTAATACAATGTAAAGACATTATAATATATCTAATGATTTTTAAGACAGATGAATGATATTCTTAAAAAAAATGTTTCTTTACACTATTTATATATATATATATATATATATATATATATATACATATATGTGTGTGTCTAATTTAAAATAAAAAATTTTGTTAATATGAAAATAATTGTTAAAGAAAAAATATTAAATAGTAAACATTATTCTACTTATCGTTATAATGACAAATTTTTATAATTATGCTTAAGTAAAATAAACAAATGAACCAATTTAACTGCTATTATATATATTTGAAGCTAAGCTGTTCGTTAAATTTTTTTCAAACAACTGAATCTTTACAACGATGGAAATTTAAATATATAAAAATCATATTTCACAAGTATTTCTTACATAGGAATTCGGTTAATTTCTCTCATTTAGATTAAAATGTAATTTTAACGAATATAGCCAATTTATTTTTACAAATATGCCAAAGTATAGAAGTAATATTTATTTTACATTCGATATTATAGAAATGTTAATAAATATAAAATTCATATAAAAATGAAGTTTTATATGAAGGAATCATTTTAATAAATATTTCCGTTTGATATAAATAATGATAATGATATAAAAATATTTAATTAACTGTTCACAAGTACTTTTTGTATTTCAGAGTTCATGAAAAAATAACAGTTAAAGAAATATAACTAACTATTATTAGCTTTTTAATTAAATTATATAAAAGTTACAATTAGAATTATGAAAGCTCATACTATAACATTGCATATGCATTATCTGAGATGTTATGAAGGAAGATTGGCAAGTGAGATTATAAGAGTATTATTACAATTTTTAAAAATATTTTGTGAAATATCAAAGGTAAAATACATTGGACTAAAATAATGTATATTATACATAAACATTTGTAAGCTATTATATCGTATGTTTTTACTGTTTATAAAAGTTGAAAGAATTGTCATGTATTACTATTAATTATTTATGAATTTTCGTGATAAACTAATAAATTTAGCAAATATTAATATAAAACTGTATAATTAAATATATAGAAAGTTATCTATTGTATTTTTTTTTTTTTTTAATTGCTGAAATCGGAGCAATGGCAATTTATATATATAAACTAATTTTAAAATCGTAAATTTTTAACTTTAAATAAAGAAGGAAGAAATAAGTTACAATACATAGTAAACTAGAATATATAAAAAAAAGTTTACCGTTGACTGTATATACAGCTGGAATCTGATTCGCTTGATCTATTTATTTCTAATTTCCTGTAAAAAAAAACATATATTGTTAATGCATATCTTCCTTTATCACTATGTAATTAAATAATTATTTATAATATAATAGTAATAGTTATCTTGAAATTGTCGAGTATATTAATTACAATACATTATTTGAAGTAATTTATCGAATTAAAATAGCTGTAAAATTATCATTTACATTAATGGATTTACTATTAATAGTCTATCATTTAAGTAATTAAATTAGAATAGATTACCTATACTACATATCTGTTATTTAATTAAATTAAACATTATTTAAATTAGTTTACGAAGAATTGATACCAATATAAATTTGGTCGGATGCACATAAGAATACAAAGTTACTGTAAAAAATAATAAAATTAGTAGTTCTCTCATTATTGTTGAAAATATTTAAAATATAATATATCGTTATAAATAATTAAAATAAATTCAAAATTTAATATGTTTAATAAATTCTCGCAACTAAAGTCCTCTTTATATTATATAATAAATTATAAAAAATAAGAAATAAAAAAAATAATAATATGTCGTTGTGATTTATTTATAATTTCCAAACAGAAGTATTGCAATTATTTTGACCCGATTTTGTAAAAAGGAAATATTTTTCTTATTAAAATAATTTTCTTTCGGCAACTTTTATTATGTTCTATTATATATTTACATGAATTTAAATGATTACAGCGCGTAGGTGTGCTATGCCTTCATTTTGGTGAAATGTTCATCGGTATTATATTCAGCACGACCGGGTCATACGCCAATGAAAATATTTTAAAATACTTTAGTACAATTTAAAATACTTTAAAACACTTCACTTGATTAGAATTGTATTTATTTACACCCTAGTTAATGTGCTGGATTTATAAGATTAGTTTTTGAAAATTTAAGTAAACCAAGATAAAATACGATTAAATAAAGCAAACTTAAAATTTTTATCTAATTAATGCTTAATAGTATTTATAATTTCAAGAATGATCTGTAATTTATAAATATCAACCATTGTTTACAATACCGTTACAACAATGTTGCTTCATAGTATATAATAATAACAACAATAACAGAATAATATGAAAAACAACGATAAGAACAATAATTACAATAATATCAATATATAAAATAACTTGTAAGAATAACTTTTACTTGAGTTTAGGAATAAATTTAACTCTACTACATTTAGGACGAAACAGCATGGCATATTAACCAAACAATCACTTTTTTTTTTAAAACATTAAAGTCTAGATGAATAGAAATCTGAATTTCTAGTCATTACTTTACAAGTCCGTTACTTAATTCGAAATAATTCGCATTACATGTGAAAGGACCAATTTTAGGTGTAAATATCTTTAGTTATTCTGTTGCTTTTTTCTATATTTTTTATATCAATTCATTTTTTATTTTATATCAATTTTTTATTTTGAAGAGGAGTATTTTAATGTATATAATTTGAATTCACAATACCATGTCTTTATAAAATTTCAAAAGAATTTCATTGTATATATATATATATATATATATATATATATATACGAAACAACTAATTATATTTTATAATTCAACATAAAATTTTTAATTCGTATTCAATGATCTTCATATGATAGATAAATCAATAAAATTTCTTAATTTTTAATTCATTTAAAAAACAAGAAAATTATTTCGTTATTAAGAATTTTACTAGTTGATTTTTCAGTTATAGTTTGGAATAACTATTTTGAATAACGTAGAATGTCAATATATAAATTATGGATCTTAATTAAGAGACTTGATATTGTTAGACTTTTGGATGGTATAATTATGTAATTAGTTATATTAATACGAATGAAGATGAGCTGAGATGTTACAAATGACAGTTATTATCGTAGTCGTAATCCATGTTTATGTTTAAATTATGCATTTAAGTTATTGCTCTTAGTTTATTTATATTTAAGTCCTATGAAATGTAATTATGTATGCCTGCGATATATTCATCACCCAATAAATCGATAATCTAACGAACTATATAATGGTGTATTATAATCAATATACTATAAAAAAAAAAAATGTGAAAATGATTTGTGATATTGAAAGATATTCAGCAATGTTTTCATAAGACAATTTCTTTTAATTATGAAATGGTTACATTTATTTTGATTAGCTTATGTAA